ATAATTTGAAATTCAAATACCATAAGCGGACCACATGACCTTAGTTGGACGTAGAAGAAATTTCATTTGAATTTGATTCCTAGTTGAGTTAAAAATGGCAACCGAGCTAGAAACGAGACAAACCATTTTGCATGTACACGTAAAATTGCTAACAAATTAAAGAGTCCACTATTCGACAGTTTGCAGGGTTTTAATCGGTACAAATAAGGCCTGACTGTTACGAGAAAACCAGGGAGCGGGGANATCCGTACGGAGATCGCAGTTTTTCGTACAAAAGGTAAAGCGGAAAGCTTCATTGAGATGTTCTACAGCTCAAACAGCGCCAGACCGAGGCGCAAAGTAGAATGTTACAGCGAAATCCCGCATTCGGAAGTTGTATGAATTCTAAATTAAAAAATACAACTGCATTGTTATGGACTGCGAAACCTACTGCTATAAAAATTCAAAATATATTGCAGGTCAAGATTTTTATACTGCTGCAAGTCGTCAAGATGCCCCTGAAAGTTGTAAGCTGAAAATGAAGTCCAAATTTCCAAAAACCACATGGTTTGGCAAGCTATTTGTTCCTGCGGCCGTAAGAGCAGCCCTTTTTTGCCATCCGGGACAATGAATTATCAAGTTTATTAGGATGAGTACCTCAAAAGGCATCTTCTGTCATTTATCAACAGATAAGGAGTAGGACATCGTTCTAGGTGGACATGGCAACCTGCCACTATGCCAAGGACACATTGCCGTGGTATAATGCAAATAACATCAATTTTGTACCTCACGACTGCAATCCACCCAATAGCCCAGAGCCACGTCCTATTGGGGAATATTGGTCAATCGTCAAAGGAATTTTGAAGAAAACAGGTGAAACAGTGAAAAATATTGAAGAGTGCAAAACAAAGCAGATGTGCGCATCGCGTAAAGTCGATGATGCAGTCGTGCAGAACATGATGGCGCGTGTGCGATGAAAATACCGATCACTTTCATATGGAGCAAATAATAACTAATATTTTAACATTTTAATAACATCTAAACTTCCAAGTTGTATAATATAAAAAAATAATAATTTCAAAGCCTTCTAGTTTGTTTCTGGTAGTAATTTCTAAGTGTCGCAGTTTTGGTGTGTTCACCCTTTATGTACGGTGTATACATAAAAGAAATGCTGATTGAAATTAACAAAATAAAAATTTTTATTACATAGAAGCGTGGCAACCCTGATAGAAAATATTTTCTGACCAAAGTCCTCAACAATACCTTTCATTTGATACCCATATTGCGATGTTTTAGATAAATCGTGTAGTATCGAAAACAAGTGGCAACCTTACACCACTATTCTAAGGAATACCATTTTGACTATAGGGAAAGAGTTGTTTAAGAACCTTCTCTTGTTACCCATGAATAGTAATATTTTACCTTTTTTTCTAAACAAAAATTTAAATAAAAATGCGATTCAAAATAGGTGGTAACTCTATTAAAAAATATTTTTCCATTATGGATCTTTAAAATACCTTCCATTTGATGCCCATATTATTATGTGTTAACTAATTTATAACTAATTTCGAATAGGTGGCAACCTTATACGAGTCTTCTCTGAGATACTGCCTATTCAGGTAACCTTAAAATTCAAAACATTATCTATGTACAAAATGGCATCAAAATAGTTAGATCCGTTTCCGAGAACCCTATGTATATATACAAGAATTGCTCGTTTAATATAGTAAGATATGGCTGAAAAGTGCGTGGTGGATGAGGTATCAAAGAGAGGTATCCTCTAGTCGATCCCACACGGGAAATATATACTGAGAGTACCTACTTAGTTCCTTTTACTACTATTGAACCACTGCTGAACAGATGAGCCTCGTGCCAGCTCACCCAACCGTGTACGAAAACTAGGAAACGTGCTACTGCAAGGTATTTTAGCCAAGGCTGGACCGGGGATGGTGAAGGGATTTCCTGAGACTCATTAAGCGGCAATTCCCCATCGTGATGGATGTACTGAGAACAGCAGTTTTCCAATTCATCAGCCACCAGTGTCAGTGACTTGACACCCATACAAATTCAAGCGCATTCCACCGTGCAATGGAGCTCAGCCTCAACTTACATTCTTGTACTATTTTTGAAGAGTAGCGAGTGGTTTCCAAGGCCTTTCGATCACCATGACGGTCAATTTCGCCAATGATCCAGTCTGCTACTTAAAGCGTACGTTCAATTAATCTACACCGGGGCGCGACTTGAAAAATGGCTATGTCTTCTTTCTAAAGTCACACCAATAAAATCGGAAAGCATTTAGCATACTATTTAGTTTATAAGAGCAAATCTCAAACGACTAAAAATTAGGGGGTAGGATCGTGCAATTTCCAAGAAAACATTTTCGATGGGCACCCTAATGTACAAATACATATGTATATATTTGTATGTGCGTAATAATCGACAAAGAGTTAACACAATCATATGCACTTGTGTAGACACATACATATATATACAATATTTCTTTAATATTTGTCTCGCGGTTCTATTCCTGGCATAGGAGACAATTTCATAGTAATCAATGAAAAAAGCAACTACTTTTTTTCATTTTCCTACTTTTTTCATATCTGAGTGTAAATGAGGACACATGTGGCACTTCAATGGGATATGTATGTACGTATGTATGTATGCATGTGGTAAATATTGGAACACTATAACATTGGTATACTCGTGCAGATGTAATGGCAAATATAATGTAATATGCATGACAATACTTGGATATCTATATACAGATGATATGGAGATACTTGCCAGATATGCAAAAGTGGGTGCACATACATATATGTACATGCATACACATGTACATACAAAAATGTATACATGACTTTTGCCAGTTTTGTTTTAATGCACAACAAAATCGAGTGTAGTTCAGGGAAAGGTTTCTTTTTATTGGTTAATCAAAGATTACAGCGGCCATGGCTGGGAATATTTAATTTAGTACAGATGCTGCTCATACGCCCTGTCGAATTCTGACTGGACTTGTATGTACACATACATATGTACATATGTACATATGTGAATCAGGCTTAAAATGTTCTTCCATTTTTTCATATGTAGTTATTTTGAATGTATCTATTTTATATTTGATAAATTGAGGAGTAAGTATATCAGAGAACAACTTAATTAAATATTAAAATTAAGCGAAAATACCCGTATCAAGACGAATTTATATATGGTGGTGGTAACTAGATCAGCTGATTTTGTGTACGTGTTTCGCCTCACGGCTTCTGATGTCAAATGTAAAAATTTCGTTTGAATTATGCCAAAACAAAATACATTTAAATTTTTGTTTTTTGTACTTCTACTGTCTTCTTCTTCTTCTTCTTTATTGGCGCTGTAATCGCCTAAGCGATTTTGGCCGAGTTCAGCAAAGCACGCCATTTATTTCTCTTCTGTGATAACTGACGCCAATTGGAAATGCAGGGTGAAGCCAAGTTCAATAATTTTTCATTTAAAACGGCCTCAAGCTCAATAAAAATTATTGAATACAATTGTTACAAGGCCATAATTAACCAAAAATAATAATTGATAAATAAATAAATAAATTCAGAGTTCTGACAAATGCAATATTTTTTTAATGCATAGCATTTTAATGTTAATGAAAAATATGAATGCATTATTTTTTGAAATTTAATGTAAATAAAAATTTCAATGCATTAATTCTGAGGAAATAATGGTAATGATTTTTGTTTTGTATTACAATTGAAATTTTTAAATGAATGCTAATTATTTCTATTCTTATTTCCTAACATCAAATCGTCAAAAAATAAATTTGGCAAATTAAAGATAAGTAACAACAATATTTTAATCAATTCATTTTTACTTCCTACTTAGTTTTTTAATTTATTAAAATATTGATGTTACTTACTTTTATTTTGTCCAATTTATTTTTTTTTATGATTTTATGATCGTCGTTGAAAAAATTAAAAAAAAAATGGTATTCCAACTCTTCCGAACTCAATTTTTCAAGCTCATTCCGCAGACTGAAGATATTGTCGCAGAGGACCAGCATTTCTTTTCAATAATAAGGGATTAAAGTAGCACCTGTGAAGACCTATACAATTTTCGTATCATAGTTTTTGTGTGTTTTCGACCCGCCCTAATTGACAATCCACATAAAAATCCACAAAAGCACACTGAGTTGCACGCACATTGCATTTATTTTCATAAAACATCTAACAATGTTTGCAAGAATTTTTCTACAAATAAGCATAATAGAATGGAGCTGAAAAAACTATTAGTAATTATTCGAAGTCCTTCCAAAAGAGGTTATTTAAATATATTTCACTAAAAAATAAATTTAAGGGTTTTTAATAATGCAAAGAGCAAAATTATTAAAAATTTTAGTTCATTTAAATTTTTCATTAACATTAGTTTGGATAATTGAATGAAAACTAATTTTATTGGCATTATGTTTTTCAAAATTAATGCATTGAAATTTTTATTTGCACTAAATTCCAAAAATGAATGCATTAATTTTTGCTTTAAGTACCATGCATTAATGCATTTTTCCCCAACTCTGATTAAAACCGATCCGATTCGCGTGAAACCTTTTCCTCAGGGTGTGTGTTTGTGGTCGCTGATTACGAATTTGGTGTCACCTACGTACCCACATGGTGTATAAGTTACCCAGACGAGATGAGAATCTTACTCATACGCCATGTACGGGCTAAGGATGCCAAAATTGGCGGAAAATTGTGATCCCGGGATTTCGGCATATTTTTCAGTAATCCCGGGATCCCGAAATTCATGCCGCGATTCACATTGAGTCATAACTTTTATGAATATGAGTAAAAATTCAATATCTGAAAGCATTTAAACAAACCATGAAATAAAACTATTTAAAATTTACGATAAACTAATTTTAAAACTCACGTATATATTAAATCAGACAAATCTAAAAGTTTCTTAAATTGTATTTAAAAAACCTTGTGATTGAAGAACGTTTACGATATAGAACTTATATTTGTTAATCTTTTTATTTTAGTTATTTTAACATAGCTTCTTCACAATGAATACCACATCACCAAAATCTTCCTTAGCCAAATTGGGCATACACACCACGAAACATAAATCCTTAAAAGTGATGGTGCTGGGACAAAGTGGAGTTGGCAAATCAGGTGCGAATTAGATCTTTACTTTAGACTCTTTTATCTATGCACCTTGAAATAGTTAAGTACTTTGCAGAAATAATTGGTTATTTCCTTTCCCTATGTTCTATTCATATTTTCGCTTGCGACAGCTATGGTGGTGCGATTCATTACACGTCGTTTCATTGGCGAATACGATCCTAATCTGGAGAAGATCTATACACATAATACAACATTTGACAATGAACTTATACAGTTTGATATATTGGATGCTGCTGGGCAACCAAATGTAAGTAAGAGAACTTAAACGATGTACCAGAACGACAGACATTTTATCAGCATTCGTCGATAGTTTTTGCACAATAACGAAATCTTATTTATGAACGTTGTTTTTTTTTTCAAATTCACTACTTTTAGAAAGAGGATTGTGTCAGCCTGGACTCGAACATACGTTGGGCGGACGCATTTATACTAATGTACTCCGTTACGGATAAATGTAGCTTCGACGAATGTAATCGGCTGAAATTTTTGATTAACTACAATAAACGACGACGTAAACTGGGATCAAATAGTAAGGTGGGTAATGAACTTTTATTGAAAAGGATATCCATATATAAATGCGGAATATCCAAAGTACCAAATCAACTAAATTTATGCATTTACCTCTCCTCAGGATTCACTCTCCGATGTGCCGGTGATTTTGGTAGGCAACAAAACCGATCAAACGGGCGATCGCATGGTGAACATCGATGAGGGTCAACGACGTTTTCGTGAGCTATCATGTGCCTGCTTTCATGAGATCTCTGTGAGAGAGAGTGTAGATCAGGTGAGTACTTTAGATTTATAAAAAAATTTAATATTGATATGCTAAGTAACCGTTACTCAGGTGCAAGCAGTTTTCCGCGATGTATTTCGTTTTTGGCGCGTCTTCAGCAAATTTCCCAAACTGAAACGTTCCACCAGCGATGTACAGAATGCATCCGATTCGGCGCTAAGCCCGGACTCTGGTTGTTCTTTCTACGATTCATCGTCATTTAACAACGAAACACGCAGATCCTTCTTCATAATCGGTAAGTTGTAGTTGTACAAGCAGAGGCAAATACCTCCTCCATCCTAATTATTTTCCCACCAACCCTATAGGCAACGCCTGTCTCGAGGAGAACGATCACACCGAGTCCACCGACGAGCTTGGCTCTGGCAGCTTATGCAGTCCACGCAGCGGCATCGATACACCATTCCGCAGTAGAGCCTCCACGGATGGCACATTGTTGTCGCGACCGCGTCGCTGGCGTTATCCGCCGCCCGGCTGTCTGTTGCCACACACCAATCGGGTCGAACGTCGTATGAGTATTTCGACACGCGGCAGCAACGCCAGCTATTGACTAGTGATTAAGTGCTGGGGGGAACTCAGTAAACAGTGCAGCGACTTCATTTTCTAAAACTACATATTTGAGAGTATAAAAACTTTTATTGCTTGTTGCTTAGAAAATTGTAAAGTCTTGCTTATGTACAAAGAAAATTTTTTAAGCTATATTTGTGCTCTAAAAAAAAAAAAACAATGAAATAATTAAGGGGGCGGGCGAGGCACGCATATTGTTGGACCATTTAGACTTATCTGTGGTGTGTTTGTATTGAGAAGGGTTAATCAATAAATTTTCAATTACAATTATTAATTAAATAAATATATGTACCTATTAAAATTTTAAAATTGTAAGTGTAATACAAATGCATATTTTATACATGTATTTTTTTATGTACTGATCGTATATATAGACTAAATATTTATTAAAGGTTTCATATTGAATGTAGTATGTATGTATGTTCATAAATTAATGTATGTACTTTAGTAAATATATTGAAGAAATCTTATACATATATTTTTAGGTTAAATTTTGTTTTTAATTGAGAATCCTAATGCCAAAATAATAATGTGATAAAATGTGATAAAATTAGGTAGAAAACATTTGGTAGGTATTGGTTGAGCCTCTTCTTCGTTAGGTTAGGTTAGGTTATTGTAGCAAAGGTACTAACTGAGGCATTTATTAGACTGTGCATTATGTTACCTCATTACACAAATTATGCGAACGGTAACTGCAGGTTAACTGTGTTAAACTAATAGAAGCGCTGGATGCTCAATACAAAATTCCGCAAGCAATTGATTTTCACTCCGGAGAGCTTTTCGGGAGTGTTGATAAATTGAGCACCGAGGAGCTTAAGCCTAAGTCTAGCGAAGTGATGAGATGATTTCATCTCGTCTTCCAAACAGCTGCGCCAGCAGCAATCCGTGACGATATTGGGCCTTATGCATAAAAAGTGAGCTTAAGCTCAGACTCAATTTTTGCACTGAAAGGGTGAGCTCAAGCTCAAGAATTTGTACTGAAAAACGAGTCGGAGCTTAAGCCCACTTTTTATGCATGAGGCCCATTAAGTCACACCACGTTCGGTTCCTAAAGTACAATATCCGGTCAATAAACCTGTAAGAATCGAGAGCTGGTGCTTAGCCAGCTGCTGAGGCTCCCTTGACCGCCCGCGGCCAACTGCCGGCCAGAAGGTCCTCTCCTTCTGGTCCGAACCCATCTAAATAACCCAAGTCTTGGGTATACCGTTAGGATTGATGGATCAAACCGAGCTAGGCGGGAGTTAGTAGTTCCGCTACATAACATTGCAACTTTGCATGTCGAAGTTTTCGCCTAGCGCTTGCTGAGCCAACTATGAGCTCATATGTTTATGAGCAGGCCGCAGGTTGCCAATGGAACTCCTATACCCTCCTTGTCCGAGGTGCGTCCCTCCTTTGAGGGTTCCCTTCCTAGCCAATTTATCAGCCCTGCAATTATCAGTGAGGTCACTTTGAGCTGGGATCTAAATCAGCTTGATTTTGATGTATTCCGAGTGTTCCGGTTGAGAGAGGTCAGGCATTTACCTTCTATTTTTCTATGGCCAGGAACTCAAACAAAAAGAGCGCAACTCCATCTCGCATTCGCAGGGTCTGGGTTTTAATCCTTTTCAAACTCTTGGCGACAGAACTTCGTCAAGATGTTGTTGGGTGTCAAAGGCCTCAGGGGTTTGTCCCTCAACACATTGCGGCCAAATGCCTCATTCTTTATTCTTGCAAAAGCGGGGGCAAAGGCACAAAAAGTATCCCACTGTCTCATCCTCTTCAAGGCAGGATGGGCAAATGGAGTTATCATGTACGCCTATCACACTCAGGTATTTGTGCCACGTAAAGTGACCAGTCTGCAGTCCCGTCTTCTATGTCCAGCCTGCGGGCTATGTGCGATAGTATACCCAATAAGGCATGCTTGATGCAAACGAGGACTAAAATCTGGTAAGTAAGAAGATGACGGGAAAAATACCCTCTTAAATACCCAACAACCCTGATATTTTGGGACAAAAATGTACATCATGGTTAAGGCACAACGTTTGGATGGTAATACTCCAGCTGACACCCACATGTGCTGAAATCCATTCGCACTTGCGACAGGGGCACGGATTGTGGAGGCCCAAACCAAAGTCTTCAGCGTTATAGACCATAAGCGCATCCTAGAAGGGAGTGGGTGGTAACGCTAATCCTCTCTTCTTCAGAGTCGTAAGAGAAATAATCCATTGCAGGGGATGTGGGACAAGAAGCAGCTCGCTGCCAATGACCCTCCAATGAACGAATTGGTCCTCCCTGGTCCACTGTGACGACACCCGCCAAAGCCTGCCCAATGCCACTGCCAGCCTTAGTATGGTGGCTATGGGTGTGGCACTGCCCAATTCCGATCTTGCGGCGAACAATCGAAGACAGCGACAGAAGAAGACGGTATCAGTCAGACAGACCTCTGGCGCAACGAAACTACCTGGAGTACACCAACAACAAAACCCCATTGGCGACCAGAGCGCTAACTTGACTTATGGCATATACTAGTTGACCACGCCAGCAATATAGACAGCTACTAAAAAGTGTATAGAGAACATTCTATGGGTTCACGATATGGTTCAAGGTATTTAAACGAGGGTCCTATGTTCGAGGTGTTAACTCCACATATCGTCGATGAGCTCTACGCGTATGCTGTGCATTTCTAATGGGCATGGAAGAAGCTGCTCAGCAGGGATATCCTCTCTTGTAATCGCCACACCAGAGCAATACTAGCTTGATGCGAAACGAGGACGTCCAAATACTAACCGCAGTGTTTGCTGTTTCAAAGGTGGACCCATCGACTCATTTCTGAGTTTGCAGCATGGCTTAAAAGGAAGCACGGTGAGATAGACTACGAGCTAACGCAAGTCATCAATGGGCACGGCTGCTTTAAGAGTTATCTCCTTTGCTTCCGGCGCAAGGAAGATACATTTTCCGAGATTCGCGAATCGGATGGCCAAGAAGATGCAGAGCACCTAATGTATTCTTGCCCGTAACTCAGTGAGCAATGACGTAAATCAAACGAAAGTTTTGGGATCTAACGTTTCTCCAGAAAACTTAATGCTGCGAGGAGGCGTGGAAGGCGGTATGCAGTGTATCAGCAGAAATTTTGCAGCAGTTGTGGGTAAGCGAACAGAAAGGAACCTGAACTGCGTCGACTTTTGATACGGAAAAAATTACGTAATCCCAATCAAATTTAGATTTGTCCCCATTAACACGCTTTCGATTTCCTTAGTCAGGTCTTTTATTGCAGTCTGTGAAAAGCTCTTGCGCAAAAATAACAAAAAAGTATATGCGCGTACATGTTCAGAAAGCGCAATCGATTTAATATTCCTCATCGATTTTCAACAAATATTCTTCGGCACGCAAAGCCAATTCACGTATGTTGCGCAGACAACCAGCAGCAGCCAGCTGTGTCTCTTTGTTGGTGGAACCAACGCACTCCAACAAAAATGGTACCACACCGCTCTGAAATGAAGAAGAGAGTATTGAAAGGAGAATTGACGCTAGACAATATTCCTTACGAAATTCGAAAAAATCACCCACGCACCTGATGCATAATGATGCAATTTTGTGGATCCATCGACAACTTCTCCAGCGCCATGGCTGTGGTGCGATGCACGGCCGGATCATTGCTGGTTAGGTAGCTGACGATAGGCGTGACAGTGCGCAAACGTCCCAACTCTTGTGTGTTATTGCCATAAGTAGCGCAACTTGCGATAGCGGCGGCCAAATTTTCACGCAACAAGTCCTCGCTGGTATTAACTGTGTGCGAAGTGGAGCCTTTAATACCAAACTCTAAAATTTGCCACAAACCCACAAAAACTCACCCAAATCAGCTAGCTTGTAGATTACTTTCAAATCAGTTAAAATTGCCAAATTTGTGGAATCTTTGGCAATTGTTGCTATAGCAGCACACACCGCCGACAATACATGCGTATCGGTGGACTTCAGCAAATCCACAACCAATTCCATAGCGCCCACCAAGCTTCTCACCAACTCACCCGATTCATGCGCATTGCGCACACACGGACATATGGCGTAAGCAGCGTACGCCTGCACTTGTGTGTCGGTATTCTTTAGCAATGACCAAATCAGACGCACTGCATCTAGTTCCTCTAGTATGCGCATACTTTCAGCATCCTCGGCGCATTCCTTCAATGCCTTGGCCAAGTTAACCAAAAGTGGCGCATGCGAGGAGTTCAGTAACGCAACCAATGCTGGCAAGCCGCCAGCTATACGCAGCACTTCACGATTATTTTGGAAACGCACACATTCAGCTATGGCGCCAACCACATTGGTAATCACGTCATCTGAATCATCGTTCAGCAGCGGCACCAGATGATTGATGAGTCGTAATGTGTCGAGTTTCTTGACATTTGCTTCGGAGACAGCGCACATCCAAATGGCGCCAGCAGCGCCAGTCATTAATTTCTTGTTATCGCGTATATTTTTATCTTTGATAATGGCGACAAGCGGCTCCAAACCGCCAGCGGAACGCACTAAATCACGTGTGGTCTGATCGAAGGCGCACTTGTAAATCGCCGTACTGCCTTCGGTCTTCAAGTCCAAACTATCCGAATGCAAGTGGGTGACAATATCGGCGATCATACCCTCGGTGGTGATGGCCAGTTGGAATTTGGGCTGGATTGGATAACAAATCGGTTTAAAGGGGAAATTTTCAAGCCATCGGAGTATACTTATAATGAAGTTAACTCGTTTGCAGACTCAATAAAAAGAGTTAAACTATAAATCTAGCTGATGATAATCGAGAGGTGAGAAGAAAACGTGCGAGGTGTCGCCGTCGTTGGAATAAAACTTCCTAAATCTGGGTTTGGGTTTCAAGGTCACTGATAAAGAAAGAATCTTGATTTCGAAGTTTTCCTCAGAAAATATTGTTGGTCAAATGAGCCCCCGGCCATAATGATTCTCTTTCCACAATCCCAGTTTGCTCCATATAAGGGCACTCGGTAAAGCTGTTTCTTTCATAAAAGTATTTTTTTTTTGGGTGAAAAATAACTTGAAAGCTGTCTTCTGTTTTTCGATAGACTAATCGAAAGATCTGCTAACGAGGCTGTCTTAGCTTTATTATGTTTATCCTTTAGCAATATGTTTTCGAAAAATTCTATTATATCTATAAAAAATGTTATTTTCCTTTTAAAACCATAAATACTAAAAATTAAAAAAAGTTTTACATTTTAAAAATCAGTTAAATTAAAAAATCAAAATATAAATTAAATAAGAATATAATTGATAAGAAATAACAAAAACACTTTTTTTAAACAATAAAATCTAAAAATTTAATTGAAAGAAGAAACAAATTTAATTCAAACGAAAAAAATATAATTAACAGAAAAAAAATAAATAAAGTAAATTTCTAAATATTAAATGAAATTAAAAATATACGGGATGAGGGAAAATCATTCACCATTATATTAAAAAAAATATATTTTTAAAACGAGATCGAAAAATTAATTTTAAAATAAAATAAAAACAAAAAATAACAGAAAATTAAAAATATAAACAAGTTTCTAAAAAATAAGTAAAATTAAACAAAATTTTTTCGTTTGAAAACAGTAAAATCTAAAAAATAAAAGAAAATTAAATTTAAAAATATAAAAATTTAAATTAAAAAACAAGAAAAAATATACATAAAATACGCTTTAAAAATTAAATTACATTAAAACTATATATATTTATCTTTTTAAAACAATAAAACCTAAAATTTAAGAGAAATTTTATTTTAAAAAAGAAAAAATTTACTTAAAATAAAAGAAAAAACTAAAATAAATTTCTAAAAATTAAATCAAAAATATTTATGTATATGTTTAACAAAAGATCTAAAAATTAAAAAATATTAAATCACAAAAATAAATTAAAGTAAAAAAACTAAAAGAAGTACATAAAATTTTAATGAGACTCATAAACAAATTTTTTTCTTTTTAAAACAAGAATAAAAATTAAAAGACAATTTTATTGAAAAATTAAAAAAATTCACTTCAAAAATAAAAAATAAATAAAATAAGTTTCTAAAAATTTAACGAAATAAAAAATATCTTTCTTTTTAAAACAATCACATCCAAGTATTAAAAGAAAATTAAATTAGAAAAAGAAAAATTACTAAAACAATTTCCTAAAAATTAAAAGAAACTATTTTTTCTCTATAAAACAATGAAATCTTAAAATTACAAGCAAATTTAATTTAAAAAATATAACATTACATTTAAAAGAATTTAGTTAAATAAAACATGTTACTAAAAATTTAATTAAGTGGAGAAATATTTTTCGTTTTAAAGTAATAAAATTTAAAAATTAAAAAAAAATTGAATGAAAAAGAAAAAAATTAATTTAACCTAGGATTAAAGAGAGAGAACATAAGAGAGAAAGGCTTTTGTGGTATACATTACATGAATGCATGAACACTTCATTTAGGTCAAACTGAGCGTTCTCCAGTTACGAAATGAAGAATAGTACAAATCACTTTCTAACAACAGTTGCAAGAGCAAATGTCTGCTAAGCATCAAGATCTGTAAGTCTATTGAAATTTCCTCTTTCTCCCTACTCGAACTTAATTTATCTGAAAGAAACTTTCTACTTGTATAGTATTTCCTTACATTACCTGCGACGCGCATTCTTGTATCGTGCCCATAATGGGTATGACAACATCAGTGTGACAGGATTTGAGTAAGCGAGCCATCAATGGTACGATGCCACTTTTACGCATCAGCTCCTTATTGTGGCGCGATAACGATAGCGACCAAAGTGCACGCGCACCAGCACGCGCCATATTCAAACACTCCAGATCGCTTGTGTTGAGTTCCTCACGTGGCGTTTTGAGTATACTTAAAAAAACAAAAACCAAATCATTACATACGCACATTTCATGCGCAACTAAAAACCTCAACACTCACCGCAAGCTCACATCCAGCATATCCACCAACTTGGGTATACCATTACAAGTGCGTACATATTTCCTAGCCAAACGTACCTTACACACATTAGCCAATGTTTCAGCAGCCATAGTCTTTAGTTCGCGTGACAGTGCACTCAATATATCTACAATAAGCGGTATGCCACCCAAATCGACAATAGTCTTACGTATATCGATATTTAAGGAGATCTCAGACAGTACGTAAAGCGAGCCGAGGCGACAATGTGAATCATTGCATTCGAGTATGTTGACCAACACCTCTAAACCGCCTATGTCCTGTACGGCCATTTGATTGATTTGTGTGCGTAAATCGTAGTCGCGCAGGCAACAAAGTGAGACAATGGTGGCCGTTTGATTGCCCGCCTTAATGTATTTAATTAACTTTTGTATATTATAGTAATCGGCGGGTATTTCGGCGGTGCGTGCAATGTCCTTCCAACGTTCCTCTTCCTCCGTCGATGATTCCACCTCTGTTGAGTCAGAATCTTGTGTGACAATGGTTTTTTTGCTGCCAAAGAAACGTTCCGGACAGCTACCGCACGTATCGTGAATACGCCGACGCACTTCTTTCTTCTTTTGCTGCTGGTCTTCTTTCTTAACTTTTTGGAGCCGCCGCTGCTCATCAGAGTCGGGTTGTTGTTGTCCCGACTGCCATGCCTCCTCGTGCTGCTGCTTTTCTTGCAAATTTTGTGCAAGCACCTCTTTCAAATGTTTCTGCTGTTCCGGTGTAATGTCTATCATGCGAGCTTTAGTGTCCTGCAGTGATTGGACATTTATCTTTTCTTCATCATTTTCTATGGTGGACATATTTCCGCGTTGTATTAGGCAGAAAAATAATATAAGTAGGTATGTAGTATAAGAAATATGATTTTCTGATTTAATTGTGCTATGCTTTGTGCTGGAATTTCCAAAGCTAAAATATTTGTGTGTCAACGTCTATTTTTGTGCTTTCAATACGGTTGTTATTTACTTCACTTCGATTGGAGCCACGTCGTCTTAGAAACGCATTGAATGTGGATAACTATCGGGTGGGGATGGACCTATAACAATGTTTATTTACTAACGGTGTATAATGGGTAACAACTCGCATTCCTTTGCACTAGGAGCATAATGCACTAGGCGTATATTCTAATTTCTTTAAATAAATGTCTAATTATTAGACTTTTTATCAGGTCTGAAACAGATATCTTTAAGAAAACGAGGCTACTAGTTTACCTCGGTAATTTGGTAGCCCAAAAATTTTAGAACGTCTTCGGTGCGACATGCACACATTTCTTGAGACATTTCCTTATGTTTCTTATCCTGGCTTTGTTTCCGCTGAGGTGGAATGCTAATCTGGGAATAGCTCTTGACACGAAGTTGACGTGCAATAACTTAAGTCGAGCGCAAGGTTAAACGACAGGTCGGAGTACTTTTAGTAAGACTTGGGATATGAGACCGGCTATGGTAGCTTGGAAGCTGATCGTAACGTATTCGGATGTGATGTGGTAACGTCGAATCGTGTTCAAAACTATGGCTTCTATGTTAAATGGGCTACAATGGAGTGGCTGTGAGTACAACACAGCTATTTACAGCTATAAAGACAATATTTCGACTGCGTTCATTTGGATTGTGGTACGCTGATCGGTATTCAAGGCTTGCCAGCACTCGAAACTTTTCTTTTGGGCCGAGGTGAAAAACTGATACCGACTGTATATTTTACGAGAAATCACGTCGCACAGTAGTCCGAGATTGGTAGAAGGTTCTATTTTCGTAATTTATCGAAATAGCCTACGAAGTCGTTGGCTCGACTCTAGACATGCCTAGTAACACGATCTAAAGCTTTTTCCGGTTTCCGGTGAATCGGTTTTTATTGGATTTGATTTCAGCTTAAATACCATCATATTTCTGATTTGAGTTTTCCTGGTTAAAACTAAAATACAAACCGAATTTCGTTAAAATGTAATAACATTTATCATAACCGCCCCCTAGTGTAGTGGGCGTGACAAAAGTAGCAAAAATACCTCATATGAAAAATTACACTAAAATCGGAGCAAAACTGGCACTTTTGCTATATTTTATATGGGAGAGTAAGGAGATCCACTCTCTTTGGGAACTCTTTACTGACCAATGCAAGGCTGAAAATGGAATTGAAGCTGATTGGCGTCTGGAAGGTAATTTCACTTATAATAGTTTTGAATCGCAATTAATGCGCATAAATACTTAAAGTAGCGGACTTCATGATTGGCGAAAAGGGGTACAGACATCAGTTTAGGGTATGGCAGCCAAAATGGCTCTAAAGGTCTTGAAAGCCGCTGTAAAATGGAATAAACTTGAATTCTCCTGGTTACAGGGCTCATGAAAATCGTTAGTGCAATATTGTCATCTGCAAAACAGCCAGTGTCTCCTAAAACGTTTGGGCTAAGAAGGTGATAAAACTCCCTTTCAGGCAGAGGAAGAGACAAACACGATCCCTGATTATGGCACTGTTACACCTTGTTTTATTTCATCTTTTCAGCGGATTCCGGATTAGGCAGAAAGCCTACTCCCAGAAGGCTAATACACAGTCTGATATGAGCAATACACTCGCAGAAGGTATGCTCCACTGTCTCCTCTTTCAATCTGCATCTTCTGCATATATTTTTAGTGGGCAGAGCCAGTTTAAACTCATGCGAAGCCAGCAAACAATGCCCCGTTAGACCACCCGCTAGTAGCCTAGCTTCCTCCCTGTGCAGGTATAAAAAAACTTCGTGAACTTTATGTCATACGCCCTGCACATAATTCTGGATTCGTAATCGCTTAGATGGAAATCGCGCCTTCCTCTATGGGCATAGTTTCCGACGGAGCGCTTCTTTTTCAAGCTTACCAGCCCCTCATCGCCCGCGACGCCTGCGTGCCCCGTAACCCGGTATAGATGTACGTCAGTACTTCCGCTTAGAAAATACTCCTGTAGTTTGGCAGCTTGTAGAAGTTGTTGAGATCGAGGTCCCGCGCAGACAACTGCCTGTGTATAGACATTCACCGAGTCAGCCCTCCTCATGCCCTCACGCCAGCCTTCGACCTCTATAGTGACTTCGAAATTCGTCACAAATTGCAGATCCGGTATCATGTAGTCAATGCGTCCGAGTAAAATGGACGCTATACTACTATGTCTGTAGGACCTGCACACAAACTGCCACCAAGTACAGTGCGCAACTATGCCAGAGTGTTTAGGGGTTGGTTATTCCAGCCTACTACTATTCCATTCCGTTCCAATCCAAGCGTAGCAGCAAAAAAAAATAGGAATTCTAAAAAGTGGGACTGGGGGCATATGTTTCGATGGAGACTCAGTAGAGCGAGCTACAGCGAACAACCGATCTAAGGCGGAGTTGGAATGGTTTTTAACTACGTGGATATACCAGTTAACAACGGTACTGTTTAGGTCTTTGGCATTTAAAAACTCTTTTTCTCCAAAAATATATTTTTTTTTTATTTCACTCTATTTAATTTTTAACCGACTTCGCCAAAGGAGAAATGTTATCAATTCATCGACATATTTTTTACCGGATAATTTTGGACCACTTGAATTGCTTTTGATAATTCGGAAAGCTGGTACCTCAAGAGTGGTCTCATACTAATTTGGTTTAGTGCCGAATTGGATTATGAAGAAATTAACGTTGCTCCTAAAAGTTTATATGACCATTAAACTCACTTTTTTTGTTTGCTTAAAAACAACTTGTATTTGTTTTTTCCCAAATTTTTCTTCGTTATTTGGGCTCTCCATGTTTCCCCTACCATCCACTTTTACAACTGCATTCTCTTCAGCCCATTTAACAATATTCTGTCACGCATCATTGATACAGTCATGGGTTTAAGTCACTTGTCACAGCAGCAACACCATTTCGTATTCTGGGTCAAAGGTTGACAAGGTGAAATTGGAATTTGAATGTGCAACAGTAAACGACAAAGCCAAGTACAAGTAAAAGTTTTAACTCGTAAAAACGAAGTAAGTTAAACAGTTAGTTGAAACACGCGGCTATTTGAGGACGTGCATTTGAAACAAAATGTACCAATACGTATTTCGATTATTCCCAATTTTGTTGCCAGTTATGCATTTTTGTAGCGCCAATAAAGAGGGTATCAGGTATTTATATGGATCTATAAGGCGTATGTATTTTCAAAGTGCCTTTAATAAATGTCGCACTTAATCCTACAGCATCATAGAATCCTACATCAGCGATACGCCCCACCAGAGCCTCCACAATTTACTCACCACACTTTTGTCCTCATCCCGCATTGAGCGCTGTTTTGTTGTGATCACCGATGACACCTATCAACCGCTGTACGATGAGCAATTCTTTCACAGCAAACGTCCGCCACGCGCCTATTACTTCCTTAAAGTGCCACCGTGGGAGGACTTACTGGCACCAAATTATCAAACAGTGCGGGTTTTGAAGAAAATACGCGCACACAATTGTGAATTTATATTCATCACGCTGCTGAATGGGCTACAGGTGCAACGTTTTCTTCGCTTCGTCGAGAATCATCGAATACTGAACTTGCAACAGCGTTATGTCTTGTTGCAGGACACACGACTCTTAACAGCCGATATGTGGTATATATGGAGCATTATGATATCGACCATTTTTGTGAAGCCCATAGAAGGGCAAAGGTACGAAATTGTTTCGATGGTGGCAAACAGTCAGTTTGTAGGCAAGTATTCTTTTTGGTTTAGATTTCTTTTGAGCACCATTGCATATCCGGAAATATTGAACGGATTGGTGGTGACGAAACGCCTAATGCTGTGGGAAGTGGGTAAACGCATAAAAATCAATCAACTTTATGAAGATAGAACCTCAAATTTGAAAGGTTTGAAAAATCTGCCTGGATTCCAATAAAATTTCATGTACACATTTTTCGTTTCCAGGCTATTCCTTGCCCATCGTTGTCTTCGAGCATGTACCCATGGTCAAACGTGGTACAGATAATTCCAGCTTTGTGGGACTTGAGGTGGAAATTATAAGGGCGCTGGGCATTAAACTCAACTTTAAGCCTAAATTCTATGAGACTAACGATGCTGCTATGGCGCATTGGGGCAAAAAGTTACCAAATGGCAGTTATTCGGGTATACTAGGCGATATGGTGCGTATGTATGGGTTAAGTAGTTTTAATAAACGATGCAGCGAAACAAAGGTGGCACCTTCCGCGAACCTATAATCTTCTCTTTCTCGATTTGACAGCATCCACCCTTTCGCTGACGTCACATTATCAATTTTTCCCACTAGTGCTGAACATTAAGTTTTCAAATTGTACCTATTTGCCGAAGAGTTGTACTTAAAAGTAGTACCTAAACAATAAACTTGTATTTTTATGTGCACATATTTTTGATAGTTGGTGGACTACATCTTCCTTATGTACCATAAAAACTTTTGGACATACTCTTCTTCTTCTTCTTATTTGGCGCTGTAACCGCCTAAGCGATTTTGGCCGAGTCCAAAACAGCACGCCAGTCATTTCTCTTCTGTGCTAACTGACGCCAATTGAAAATGCCAAGTGAAGCCAAGTCCTTCTCCACCTGGTCTTTCCAACGC